GAAAAGGTCTATATTTGTTTCCATCCCAAAGAAGAGCGACCCAACTGAGTGTGGAAACTACAGAACAATATCATTGATTTTACATGCAAGCAAGATTCTACTGAAGATTATCCAAAAACGACTGGAACAGTACCATCAGCAGAGAACTGCCAGAAGTCCAGGCTGGGTTTAGAAGGGGTCGTGGTACTAGGGATATTGTTGCTGATGTTAGATGGATCTTAGCTGAAAGCAGAGAATACCAGAAGAATGTCTATCTGTGTTTCATTGATTACGCAAAGGCATTTGACTGCGTGGATCATAACAAACTGTGGCTGACTCTGAGAAGAATGGGAATCCCAGAACATTTAATCGTGCTAAAACGAAACCTATACTTGGACCAAGAGGAAGTAGTCAGAACAGAGCAGGGCAACACTGCATGGTTCAAAATTGGGAAGGGTGTACGCTAGGGATGTGTCCTGTCTCCATACCTTTTCAACCTGTATGCAGAGCAGATTATCCGAGAGGCTGGGCACTATGAGGAGAAGCGTGGCATTAGGATTGGTGGACGATCTATCAACAATTTGCCTTATGCAGATGACACAACCCTGCTCGCTGAAACTGAGGAGGACCTCATGCACTTACTGCAGAGGGTCAAGGACTGCAGCCTTCAATATGGACTGAGGCTCAGTGTCCAGAAGACAAAAATTCTCACCACTGGACCAATTGGTAGCATCAGGATGGATGGTGAAGAGATTGAAATTGTTCACAGCTTCAGTTTGCTCGGCTCCACGTTCAACACTCTTGGCACCAGTATCCAGGAAATCAAAAAACGTATTGCGATGGGAAAGTCTGCGGTTAGGGACCTCTCTAAAGTACTTAAGAGCAACAGTGTCTCTCTGGAGACTAAGGTGCGCCTGATACAAGCCATGGTTTTTGCAATCACTTGTTATGCATCAGAGAGTTGGACAATGACTAGGGAGGATAGAAGGAGAATTGACGCCTTTGAGCTGTGGTGCTGGAGAAGAGTACTCAATGTACCATGGACTGCCAAGAAAACAAACAGATTCATCCTGGAGAGGGTTAAACCAGGCTGCTCCTTGGAGGCAAGGATTCTGGGGCTTTGTCTGACATACTTTGGACATGTTGTAAGGAGAGACAGGTCTTTGGAGAGGGACATCATGCTGGGCAGAGTGGAGGGACAGCGCAGGAGGGGAAGACCCTCTACGAGGTGGATTGATTCAGTGACTGGGGAAATCGGGATGGATGTGTCAGAGGCAGTGAGGTTGATACAGGATAGAGCGGGGTTTAGGGCTGTTGTACATAGGGTCGCTATGAGTCGCAAGCGACTCGACGGCACATAAGAACAACAACAATCTTTACTGAAGCAGAGAGTCAAGTTTTTCTTCCACAGTGCCACCAAGTGACTTCAAGCTGCCAACCTGTAGGTTAGTATCTAGGTTAGTAGTTAGTAGGTTAGTAGTATCAGGGACTATAGTCTTCAATATGGATTGAAGCACAACATCAAGAAAAAGATTTGCACCATTGGGTTAACTGACAGCACCGTGACAGATGGAGAAAAGATGGATATTGTTAACAATTACAGCTTGCTCAGTTCCACAATCAACACTCTTGGTACCAGCAGTCAGGAAATAAAAAGATAAATTGAATTAGGAAAGTTTGCTTAGGGACCTCTCCAGAGTGCTGAAGAGCAATTTTGTCAGTCTAGAGACTAAGGTGCACCTGATTCAGGTCATGACCTTCACAATTACTTGCTACACATCAGAAAGCTAGACAATGACTAAAACTGACAGAATAAGAATTGATGCTTTTGAGTTGTGATGCTGTAGAAGAGTGTTATACCATAAATTGCCAAGAGAACAAACAGGTTTGTCCTAGAGAAGGTGAAACCAAGTTGCTCCTTGGAGACCAGTCCTTGGGAGAGGGACATGCTTGGAAGGGTAGAGAAACGGCACATGAGAGGAAGACTCTGGATGAGATGGGTTGACACAGTAGGTGGGGTTACATGGCAAGGTGTGTAGGAGATGGTGAAATCGGCTCAAGATAGAAAAAGTTCAGAGGGTCGTGGTGAGTCACAGGTGACTTGATGTGACTTACCAACAACAAGAACAAGGGCCTAGTATTATGTCTCTCAATTACTTTCCAATCCAGTAAACCTCTCAAAGTTGGCTTTGAAGATCTCTCTCCAGAAATAAGAAAGGAGAAGTTTGTATCTATTTCAAACTCTGATGCTAATGTCTAAATCTCAATATAGATGGTTTTTCCTTAATCTTAGGTCTCTTTTTCATAATAACTGCTATGTCAACACTCGTTTATAGATTATGGAGTACCAGCTGAGCAAGGGACTGTTAATCTCTTGCTTTCTCTCAAGATGGATCAACAGAGTGACTGTAACGATGGGCTCAAGTATATGAGAGAAGACATGATGAGGAAGATACAGGACAGGGCAAGGTTCAGATCCCTCGTTCCTATGATTGCTGTGAGTCGTAGTTGACTGGACAGCACCTAACAAGATATACACACACATAAGAGCAATCTCCTCCCGTGTGATTTACTGCCTCTGAAAACTCACTGGAGGGTCAGCTATGAGTCGGTTCCAACTTGATAGCACACAACAACATAAATAGATAGATGTTGTTTTTGATTGCCTTCAAGTCGTGCATGCCTCATAGCAACCATGCCTCATAGCGACCCTATGAACAAAAGGCCTGAAGCCCTGCTACAACTATTGCCATTTATCAAAGTTCATAGAGTTTCTGGAGGCAAGTTGTTTAGGAAGTGGATACCACTCTTGCTTCCAATAGTACTGAAATATTAAGATACAGTAACTTCAGTCAAAAGTTGTATTGTAGAAATCTGTGGTCAAAAGTTAGCCGTTTAGCAACAGGGAGAACTACAAGCTAGCCGAATGATGGCATCTGTTGCCTTCATTTGTGAACAGAATGCAGCTTTCCAATCGAAGACTCGAAGAGAAGTTTTGAGATCACAAGAACAGGAAGAGACAGATGTCTTACAGAGTACGATAGTGAAAGTGAGCAGAAAACTCAGGATCATATTGAAAAGGACCAGAGGAGGAGAAACAGACAAAAAAAAAGATGAAAACAAAGAGCAGGCATGTCAAATGTCTTGAAAAAGAAGACCTGATCTGTCTAAGCATCAGGCCATCATCAATGAACTGTGTGAGGCTCTCGGAGAATGAGCTGCACTTTCTGGCAAATAAATGTAAAATGATCAGAAATGAAATCTTGATATGTTAGGGCTATCATTTTTTTTTTCTGTCCATGAATGATATACTCCACACCTGTCCGGTCTCTAGTCAATGAGAAATACTATAATCATGACAAAAAGAAGCATATTTTTAGCATATTCCAGGCTCTAATTTACTGGGTCACTTCATAGCCTAAGTTTGTAAACTGAGCCATAATCTCCCTGTGACTCTTGGTCAACCACATTAAAAATCTATTCTCTTCAGGATTCTATCTCTGTGATTCCCTCTTGGCCTATCTGATATTTAGATAATGTTGAAAAGAAAAGGAAATATTTCTGAGTCAGCTACAAGGTGGAAAGTCACCAGATGCCAGAAATCGGATGCCTCTAGTCTTCGTGTTCCTGTTTCTGTAACTGCTGTGGAAAGGCTGGTCTCTAGGGAGTCTTCCTTGAAAATTCACAAACGTGACTGAAACCCAACCAAGAGCACATCTTGATCTCTGCCAAATTATTGTCAGTACACTTCAAGCTTAAAACATTAACTAAAACATCTCTCAGTCCAGATTTCATGATTGGTTTTTAGAAACAGTATTGCTTAGAAGGGTTTAAACTAAATTAAGGGAGCTCAAGTGAGAATGGGCTTCAGGTGATGCTGTGAATTTATGATTCTCAAAAAGATCCTTAACTTCAGAAATGTTAAGAATCAGAGGACTAGCTCAACCAGGACCAAAAAGGCAAACATTTTAAAGAGATTGTCAACAGCTTTTTGATTCACCCACTGATTTCTTTTTTCAATCTGTGCACTTTTTGCTTGCCCATACCTTAGATGTTTTACTATGCATTAAATAGTAGCTTATCTTACCTTTGTTTGGTTTTTTTAAAAACAGCACTTGCATACATTTTCATTTGGATTTATATTTGATAGTGATCCCTGAGTAAATGCAGAGCAGGTTACTACTGGTTCTTATTCTAGTGAAATAGCCGTGGACCGTGATAGACAGTGATTATTAAAGTTCATTAACTCCAAGGCTCTTGAATGTATCTGTAATACTGGACTAGATAACTGAGTCAGTTTCTTCTGTGACTGAATAATTCCACAAACACATTAAAAGTAAAAAGTACAATTTTTTTGAATGACACCCCATCAGTAAATCATGCAATAAGAAGCCTAAAAATCACAAGCAATGGAGTGAAGGAGTGGTAAAATTACTGTAATTCCATGAGGCAAGGAAGCAAATGGCTTATAGTCAAGGAGACAGCTAGCTTTGTGACAATTTTTTGATTATCAGAAGATCCAAGTGATTCTTAAGCACGTGCTTTTTTTCAAAGCATGGAATGGGTGCTGCATGCCTGGCAAGCACGAGCAGCGATCACTGCCTGAGGACTGAAGGGCCATTCCAGAGACCGTCTCCCAGGAACAGCATGCGAACACAAGCCCAGGGCCATGTCAATGCGGCTGACGCCAGCTTACAATGTGGTGGGCAGAATGAATGGAGGGGGAGAGAGGTGATGAGGCAAGGTCAGCTTTGTGTTTAAATATTCTCACCTGGAATTACAGAGATAGTTTTCAAAGCTCGGAGAACCCTGAATGTTCTCAGCGCTGAGACATTGCCCAGGTCCACAAACTCTGTCACATATCTGTAGTAAGGGAGGTCACACACAGACACAAATGACAAACACAGACACAATCACAAACACCAAAGGGAAAAAAAACAAAACCACAACAAAACAAAAAGTACAATACGTCACGTCAGGGCCCTATCCCAACACCTAACACCAACCCCGGGCCATCTTACCTGGGATTACCGAAATAGTTTTCAAAGCCCTCAGAACCCTGAAAGTGCGCAGAGCTGAAACATTGCCTAGGTTTACAAACTCTGTTATATACCTGCAGAATCAAACCAAAGTTAACTTGTGACGGTACCACTGGGCGAGGGTTTGGGAATGGGGGAAAGAAAGGGTCTTTCTTACACACAAGCTATGATTTCATTTTTTCCCCCTACAAAAAGAAAAGTTTCAAAATAAAAAAAAATAAACTTTTAAGGAACACTTTCATTTCACAAGTGGGCAGGAGAATTGAAAAGTCTATATGAAAGAACTGATGCAGGTAAGACTTCCCTGGGATTTACTCTCAACAGTGGGTGAATCTCCATCAGAACTTTATTCTCTGGCCACTTTTCATAAATAAAAAGAAGCCAGGTGGCATCAAAGGTATCCTAAATTCTGGAAATTGTTTCTTAAAATAAGTTAGACTCCTGAAGCATGACTCCTACAAAAATAAATCTAAAATAGCTACCTAGTGGACAATAACAAAATGTCTAGATGTCTGTATAGCTAAATAATTTGTCCACGAGATGTATGCTTATCTTCGCAATCATACCTACAGATAAAATTTCAGCCATGTAGGCTGAAAAAAATATGTATTAAAATATATATACATATTAAAAACAGGCTCAGGAAAATCCAGACCATGGCACCAGAGCAAGTATTGAACTAAGAGTCCATTTTATTGCCAGCTCTGTGCCTAGCAAGGACACATATTTTAAATGAACAGCAGCATATAGTCACAATAATTGGAAGCTAGAAATTGCCTTAAAAGAAAGTCCACATTCCAGTTTCAAATATTATGTACATCATTCATTCACATTCTAATAGCTGGACCACATCTTTCTACCAGGTGTCCATCTCATTCACGTACAAAAGCGCTCTCTCTCACAGTCACACACACACACTTTCACATTTACACACACATACACACACACACACACATACATCATCCCTAAGCTCTGCCAAACAATAAGGCTCTTTTCCAACCCAAATAGAAAGACAGTGAAGTCTCCCATGATTCTTTCTTTCATCAACTCTTTCTCAGAGAGATATATTTTCATTGCTAAAACAACAGATGTTTAGAGTAGTTAGTGCACCACTATGGAGTTTACTGGGTTCTAGCAATAAACAGAGCCCTGGTGGCAGAGGCTACAGAGCTGTGCTGATAACCCAAAGGTGGCCCCTTTCTGGCAGTTCAACTCTATCAGCCCCACTGAGAAAGGTGGGTGATGTCCTCTCATGTGACTTCCAAAAACCCTCCGGAGGGTCAGTTATGAGTTAGTTTCAACTGATGGAAATGATGATGAGCAATAGTTTTAAGTTCTGGTCAGTAATTACTTAGTTTGGATATTCTACCTAATGTTTGACTCTAGGACATGCTCTAAAGTCTGAAACACATGACAAGTCTCATTAAATCACACTCAGTGTAAGATATCCAGGAAATGAATTTTCAGCTTAAGATTTTTACCGAAGAAATTCCAAGACTGTTCAAAGGCCCTCTAGTGATAGAAGAAGAAATATGAGGAAGAGTGATGGGAAATCACCTCCCATTTTCTCTTCTAGCTGCAATCCTCTCTTACTGTCTCTCACAGAAATACACTGTCACTGCCTGTATCATAAAGGGCCTTCCTCAGCAAGAATCATAGGCATAAGTCTAGAGGGGTTTTTCTATTAATTCTTTATATAAACTCACACTTACAAAAGCTGTTGTAGGTCAGCCCCATGATCGCAAACACACACACACACACACACACACACACACACACACACGTACACACCCATACCTGGAACAACAATAAAGCGGGTAACTTACGCCATCATGATGACACTGAAATCTAACCAGTTCCATGGATCCCGTAAAAAGGTGAAGCCGTCTATGCAGAAACCTCTTGCAATAATTTTCACTAGTGATTCAAATGTATAAATCCCTGTGAACGTGTACCTGGCAAAGGAATAGAAAGCTTGAGATGATTCATGAACAGAAAGATTAAATGAACTTTAAAAGATAACTCTTGTCTGATGTATGGCTTCAAAGAAGAAAGACAAAAATGCAATAACAGAAAGGAAGTGAGGACAGGAAAGGAATGCTTCAAATGACTAACAAATACAAACCCCAAGAACTTTGGAATATTGTACAATCTTGAATAATGTTACAATGATTTAACTCTACAATCATCATTTTTAATTAAGCAAAGATGTTCCTGAATTGTATTTATCTTCTCCAATTCAAACCCATCAGCTGTTCCATGGCAGAAAGATGGGCAATTTCTTCCCATATAATTTACAGCCTCTGAGATATTGCTGGATGGTCAGCTATGAACTGGTTCCCACTTGAAGGCAATGAGTTGATTTGTTTTGTTTCGTTTTTTTAAGGCCATTGAGTTCATTCCATTCACACAGACCCTCTACTAGGTTTCTGAAGCTATATATCTTTTGGGAACAAAATGCCCTGATCATTCATGGACTAGTTGTTGGATCTGAACTGCCAACACTTGGGCTAGCAGTCGAACAGGTTATGCACTATGCCATCAGATCTCCTTGTAGTGAAACTACAAAAAGGGGTCAAAAAGGAAGGAAAATTTTAATTGAGAAGAATATACTCTCACCAGAAACTGAAGATGTGAGATAGTGATGGGGCAGCAAAGGAAATGCACTAGTTAGCCCAGGAAAGGGCAGCAGTGTAGGGAGGGAGTCCCAAAACATACCTCCCCATCCCCACAAGCCGACTTCTAGGGTCATTTAAGCTATATTCTCATCCCTTGCTGTGAAGTAATAAATGGGAAATAACTCAAGTTTTATTTAGTCATTGAATAAAATACAGCCAAAAATATTTAACTCAGAAACTAAAATACTTAAGACAGATGAATAAATAAACAAGCTACTTACTCCACATTCTTCGACCATTCAGGAGGGTTACTAAAAGTCATAAATACACAGTTGGTCAAAATAGTGCACATAATGATCATGCTAAATACTGTACAGAAGAGTCAAGGGAAGAATACACAAAATTTAATCTTTTTCTCCCCAAAACACATTTCACATTAAATGTAAATTTTCATTTGTCATATATTTTCCTATAGAATTTCCTATGAAGTAGAAAAGGCAAGCCATAAGAATTGGTGGACAGTCTCTGTTTAGGAAGAGAAAATACCAGAAAAAATATTATTCATCTGTATTAATAAAGCCATTTAATCTGAGAAAGTATTTCAGTGCTCAAGAAATTTTAAAAAAAACCCTGCAAGGTAGATCTCTAATTCATGTATTCAACTATGGGCAACTCAAGGAGTGACTAAAAAAATTCCAATATTAGATCTCATATTAAAAATCTGGATAATCTGGCCCTGGAGGAAATTAGTAAAATCTGATCACTTTAAAAAACCCCAACAACAAAATTCCAGCATTCCAACATGCAAAGAAAACAAAAGTTCTTGGAGTTCGGCTCAAGGGCTGGCACCCATTCATGGTGGAACCTGTCTTGTGGGAGGGAGCACTGTATCATTGGTGAAAGGTATACAATCCAGTTGTCAAAATTAAGAAATGTATACAAATAACCACGTAGCTGTGGCACACATTCCACATTTGTAGAAAAGGATATGAATGTATCAAAATTTTAATAGCTATTCTTCTTATCAGGTTAAAAGGACTTAAAATGTACAAGGCAGGCGTGGCACTAAATCTGAAGAGAGTTTTCCCTCTGTTTAATACTACAAAGGTCTGTGGAGAAAGAAAAAGAGAGAAATTATTAAAGCATGGATATTAATCACCACATGAAACATTTTTCTAGGCAAGAAATAACAAGTAGTTCCCAGGTGAAAAAAGAAATTTCTACTTACAAGATTTACTTCCAGTTTGGTTCCTAAGGCAAGAAACCTTACTTATACGATTGCAACAGAGTCAGTTTTAACTCAGAGCAAACATAATGGACAGAGTGAAAACTGCTCCCATAGGGTTTCCAAAGCTGGAAATTGTTAGGGAGTAGACTACCATACTGTTCTCTCTCACAGTCGCTGGGGGCTTTGAACTGCCAACATTTACATTAGCAGCAGAGTGCTCTGACCACTGAACAATTAGGCCTCTTTCAAGAAATCTCAAGCCAATATATTTGCTTCTTCCTCTTACTCCTCTCTACCACTACAATTATCATACAAATAACCAGCATTATACCCAGCAGATGTATAGGATAAATAGGCTTCTTTCAGAACAAGCTTTCTGAATTTTATCAAAACTCTCTACGTTAACTCTAGCCAAAATATTGAGTTTCCTCAATTTTGGATTTAGTCACTAAACACAAGCTTAGTGAGTGCCCATGAGAAGCCAGGTAATGTTTTGTTGTTGCTGCTGTTAGGTATCATTGAGTACACTCATAGCATCCCAATGAACATCTCGACCCAAACCCTGCCCTCTCCTGTGCTATCCTCATCCTCTCTGACACACTACTGCTGTCAGAGCTCTACACAGGAGCTTCACACACTGCTGAGGTCACCGTGTAAATCTATGTCCATGGAGGTCTTCCTCTTCTCTGACCTTCCATCTTTCCAAGGAGCAGCCTCGCTCAGCTACATGTCCCAATAATGAAAGATGAAGCTTTGCCATCTTTCCGTCCAAGGATCACTCTGGCTGCGCTTTCTCCAAGACATACCTGTTTGTTCTTTTGACAGCCCATAGGATATTATTCAGTACTCTTCTCCAGTACCACAACTTCAAGGCATTAATTCTTCTGTCATCCTTATTCATTGCTATCTGATGCACAGCAGGTGACTGAGAAGACCCATGGCATGCATCAGGTGCACAGATTGACATCATTACTCCTCATCATTTTGGAGCGGATGCTGACAGTGGACTTGTCCAATGTAATGTTGTTGTTGTTGCTGTTGTTGTGTGCTGTTGAGTCGCCTGCAACTAATAACAACTGTATGCACAATAGCTCAGAACCCTATCCTACCTTGAGCTAGTTTCACTCTCTCCAACACCTTTAACCCCATTATCTCAATTACTTTGTCAATCCATCTCTTGAGCTGTCCCTCCACCATTCTAAGCATGATAGCTTTCTCTAAAGACTGGTCCCACCTAGCAACACACCTGAAGTATGTGAGATAAACCTTCAAAATACTTGCCTCCAAAGAGCAACTTGGTTTCACCCTCTCTAGGACAAACCTCTTTGTTCTCTTGGTGGTCCAACACTCTTCTTCAGCACCGCAACTCAAAGGCATCTAGTCTCCTTCCACCATCCTTAGTCATTGTATAGCTTTCTGAAGCATAGCATGTAATTGCAAAGCCCTTGGTCTAAATCAGGCATACCTTAGTCTCTAAACTGACATTGTTTTTTTTAGCACCCTGGAGAGGTCCCTGACAGCAGATTTTCCCAGGGCAATTAATCTTTTGATCTCCTGACAGCCGGTGCCAAGAGTGTTGATTCTGGAGCCAAGCAAGCAGAAACTGTTAACAATTTAAATCTCCTCTCCATTTAGCATGGTGCTGCCATTTGGCCCAGCAGGTGAGAATCTTTGTTTTCTTGATGTTGAGCTTCAAAACGGCAATCCTTGACCTTCTTCAACAAATGCTTCAGATCTTCCTCATTTCTGGCAAGAAAAGTTTTGTCATCTGCATAACACAGGTTGTTGATATATCTTCCTCCAATTCTGATACCACACTCCTCCTCATAAAGTCCAGCCTCCTAAATGATCCTTTTCAATCTATATGTAGAATACCATTCAGCAGCATTCAGTAGGTGTTACTGAGAAAAGTCATCTCAGCAAACTTGAAAGGAGTGAGAATTAGTCATTCAACCAATATTTAGTAAGTACCTACCACATCTGCTCAGTTTGCCTTTAAAAAAAATCATAATCTTGCCAAAAAAGAATAATATTTTCCAGCATGAATCTTCCTGTATAGACACACTAATTCACACAACCAAAACAAGTGTGAAAATTTTTTAATTTCTGTTTTTTGCTCATTTCCATCCAGAATATCTTTTCTCATCTTACAAACTCAATTCAATTAAGATAAAAAAAAATGTCAAATATTTTTGGTTTTTTTTTAAAATAAATTTTTATTTTATACTGGTTTGCTTACAAAGTTAATTTATATTGTTTTTCACATCAGATCTTTCCCATTTCCTTTACCCACTCCTCCTTGTATCCTTCAAATTGGGCGACCATATGATTACCCCTGCCTTTCATCACTGCTCAGATCCTCATGCCTGTTTTATTAGTTATCTTTCTATTTCTACAGTAATAATCTTACACAGTATTTGTCCTTATGGGATTGAATTAGTTCACTTAGCATAATGATCTCTAGTATCTCCCAAGTTGGTAGCAATTTTCTATATCATTGCTTCTGTAAGCTGTACAATATTCATATGAATGTACAAGTTTCTCAATCCATTCAACTGTGGTTTGGGCTGTTTCCATGTTCCTGCAAAGGTGAATCATGCTGCTGTGAATATTGGTGTACAAATATCTACTTGTGTCTCATTTCTCATTTTCTTGGGGTATATTCCAAGCAGTGGAATAGCAGGGTCATATGAAATGTCTATATTCAACTTTTTAGGAAATGCCAAATTGCCTTCCAGAGTGTCTGTACCATTTTACAATCCCACCAAAAGTGTATGAGATTTCCTATCTCTTCATATCCTCTCCAACATTTATTACTTGCTGTCCTGTTAAACTTTGTCAGTGCTACTTGGGTGAGATGATATCTCATTGTGGTTTTGATTTGCATCTCTCTTATTGACAGTGATTTTGATAATTTCTTCATGTGTCTGTTTGGCATCCCAATGTTTTCCTCTGTGAAAATTATTTCCATCTCTTTTGCCCACTTTGTGACTGGGTAATCAGTCTTTTTCTTGTGGAGGCCCTGTAGGATTCTGTAAACTTTTGTTATGAGACCTTTGTCTTGACCTTGCCAAATATTTGTTCCCAGTCAGTAGGTTCTCTTTTTACCTGTTGGAAAAAGGGTTTTTTTTTGTTTTGTTTTTGTTTTTTAAAGCTATATGTAACATAATCAACCTTTATAACAAACTATTAAGGGTGAAAGAGGAAGTAAGAGTACACATATTACTTAAGGCAGGGCAGGGCAAAGGAGAAACCAAGGAGGAATCCTGATTATATTGATACAGCTTCTTCTTGACTTAAACACTCATGACACACTGAATAAAATCATCATATGGGAAGCTAACGACACCTTGCTGACTAGTATTTCTTCTCCGAAAGCTGTCTGTGAGAGCCCTCAGTTTGCTACAGCAGGCAATGTAGTCATCAAAGTTTTTGAAAAAGTTTCTGATGCACACAGCGGTTTAATTTTTAGGAGGCCCTATTCATCAATTTATCCTCTCCTGGTTGTGTATTTCTGGCTGTATTTGTCAGTCTTTTTATACCATGGGGGTAGGCATTCATAGTCCTACTTTGTCTCTTACAATCTTTTATGATTTTGGGCTTTACCTCTGGGTGTCTGACCCATCTTGAGTTGGTTTTTGTATCTGATGAAAGGTGAGCATGCTGCTTCAGCTTTCTGCAGGTAGTAGTCCAGTTTTACATATGTTGAATTTTGTTTTAAGTAGGTTTTTCTTTTTTATCAAATTAAAAGTAAAGTTTAATTTTAAAAATGAATAAGAAAAATAGTCTTTCATATCTATTGCATTTTTCACAGATAACCTTTCCTGCCAGTTGCATGTAAATCCTTTTAGAGATTATCTGTATAAATATAAGCATATAGGTATATCCTTAAAAACATATATAAACACACACACACACACACACACACACACACACACATTTTCATGGTCAAATAGGATTGTACTGCAAATAGTCTTTTGAACCTCGCATTTAGAAAAATGAACCCCTTTAGAGAAAAGACCAGGACCAGAGGGCTCAACTGATGAATTCTACCAAATGTTATAATTCTTCACAAATTCTTAGAAAAAAAAAAAGAGGAGGGAAGATTTTTCTAGTCTTCTTCAAGGAGGCCAGTACTGCCCTAATACTAAAACCAAAAATACCACACACACAGAACTATAAATCCATACCATAAGCCAATCTCTCATGAAAATGTGAGGTAACTGAATCCAGCAGCACATAAAGAAGATTATACATTGTGATTAAGTGAGACTTACCCTAGGAATATACAGTTGGTTCAACATTAAAAAAAAATCAATCATTGTAATACAATATAGTGATAGAATCAAATGATGCATAATATGCCAGGCTGTTAACTAATCAGGCAGCGGTCTGCACCCATCAGGTCCTCTGCAGAAAGATGGCCAAACCCCAGGAAAGATTTACAGCCTGGGAAATCTGATGAAAGATCACCGTGAGGTGGAAATGACCTGACAGCAGTGAGTATCTGGTTTGATGTACATTAACAGAATAAAAGGCAATAACCACAGTATCATCTCAACAGACACAGGGAAAAATTTGCACTATGACAAAATTCAACAGCCTTTCTTGAAGAAAATAACCAACAATGTAGGAGTAGAAGAAAACACCTCGATCTACTAAAGATCATCTGTGAAAACCCACACCTAATGTCATATTCAATGACAAAAGACTGCAAGGTTTATCCCTCAAATCAGGCACAAGACAAAGATGTCCATTCTCATCACTGGACTGGGGGCTGTAATCACAGCGATTAGGCAAGACAATGAAATAGCCAAGTACTAGAGATATTGTAGCTGATGTTAGATGGATCTTGGCTGAAAGCAGGGAATACCAGAGGAA